CTCATCCATACAGGCGAGGGTCTTAGCTGCCAGAAGTAGGGAAGCACGTCTAGGGGGGAGGTGGGTGATGAAACTGGCACTGAGCCCTCAGCCACAGGGAAATTCTGTCAGGAGCCAAGAAACACTTGGGATGTGGGATCAGAATCCAAGGCTTCATCCTGACTTTGCAGCACTGTCCTCAGAAGGGCTGGGCTGCACCGAGGTTCACACGCTTCTGAGAAAATTAATGTCAGAATCTTGGATAGAGTTTCATTGATTTTGGTGAAGACATTGATTTTAATAAATACTATTTGACATTTCTTTACAGAATTGGGTGATTTTGATAAAGAAAATTAGCTGATATTGTTCCAATTTAGAAGGATGATGGAAGTCCAGATATCCATCATCACACAAGTAACCAGGGCTCCCGTCTGTTTGCAGGGACACGCACACACACATGGACACACAGGTGCACATGGACATATGCAGAGACCCACACTCTTGTATCATATCTGCATCCAAACCCTCCTCTGTCCAAGGTATTGTCTTACACACACACAAGACATAATCCTGGGACAGGAAACTGCTGGCATCTGAGGAAACATGGAGGTCCCGTATTGTCCAGTAATGAATGAGCGACTCTGTTTTCTTGGATCCCATGAGAAGGGCTGCAATGCGGGGCTTAGCAGTATCTCAGACGACATCAGCACACGGCCCTGCACTGAGCTCTGGGTTTAGCCCTTGTTTCCACTTTACAGCATGTGTGAAGGCCCCACGAGCACCTGCACACTGTGCTTTCAGTGATCATGAGCTTTAATTTCACCTAGAAATACACCTACTATTGAAATGGCTGGTTTTATGGTGAGTCATTCCTAAACCTTGTAGGATAGTAGCAGTTTTCCACGGTGGAGGCTCCAATATTTTTGTTCCATCAGCAGAATTTTGGTTTGTTCCTATATTATCTTCATATTAGAAAATTATCCCATTTTTTATCCCTTGTTCTTCAGTCATGGGAGAGGTCTTGATAACACATTCTCACCTGCATGTAGCTCATTGTTCAGAACATCTGAATGTGCTGGAAACAGCACAATTTCTCTCTCAGTTCCGGGTTTAGCACAGTCTGATCTCTGCTCCATCTCCAGGCTTAAATAAAAAAACCTGCATAATCCAGATCTGGTGTGGAGTTTCCTCCCAGTGAGTGTCTCTAATACGTGAAGTAATTTTTTGTCATTCACATGATTCACTTTTATTTCACCATGAAGTTGAACCAATTAACCCAGCATTGTCTGACAAGGGCAGCCTAGATTCTGCAACAAAACTGATGACAGTATGGTGAGATCTCATGTCCTACCAGGATAGCAGAGTCCAGCAACGTGGAGAAGCTATACCCCCTCTTTCTTCCTGGAAAGTACTCAGGCAGTGAGGGGGGGTCACAGCTCAGCCAGTGAGAAGCCCTGGGTGCTTT